GAACAACCCCTCACACACTCTTCTGTTGTAGGTGTTCGTCTGGATTGGAAAGGATGCAAACGAGGTGGAGAGGGCTGAATCTCTCAAATCTGGTGAGTAATATAGTAATATTCAAAGATCTTTGAATAATAAAGAGACTATTTGAACCTGTTCTGAAATACAATAGCTAACAGCTAATGAACCCTTAATTATATAGTTTTTTTTAGATTTTTATCTACAAAATTCATCCTACAACAAACTTTTGTTTGAGGTTCCTGTCTGTGACTCACTGTCTCCTCTGCAGCCAAACAGTACATTGAGACTGACCCCGGGGGGCGTGACAAGCTGACCCCTGTGGTGGTGGTGAAACAAGGCCATGAACCTCCCAACTTCACAGGCTGGTTCCTGGCCTGGGACCCTTCCTACTGGGACTCGATCACCAGGAGCGTGAAGTCTCTGAATGTTTAAAACATTCACATGATAAATCAACAGAACACAGAAATATTATCATCTTTATAATCAGCACAATTTAAATATATATCCACATGTGTGCTGTCAGTGGCAGATTTCTTCCCTAAAGTTTGAAAACAACAAGCCTCTAAAGGATGCTGCATCCTTTAGAGGCTTGTTGTAGAGGCAGCAGTCTGTATTAAAATGCTTTAATGACAACAGTCCTGTATTCACTGCGCGATAAGCTGCTTTCTCATACCTGCTGAAACAACTCAGCTTTGATATTAATCAGTAATTAAAGGTTTTTATGGCGTGCATTATGTTATGAGTGTTTATGAAGTCTTGGCCAGCTGAGGGTTTCAAATGAAGCGATACTAGCTCTGCTCATCCCTGTTAGTGCTCTTGTTGCAGCATATTGGATTAACTGAAGGCTGCTGTGTCATCTTCTAGTTCAGCAGTCCAGGGCATTATTCTGTGGAAGGATGTTCCTGATTTTGACAATATTGTGCAGCTGGAATAAAGCATGTAAACTTCAGAGCTATATAATAAAAGTAGATAATCAAATGTTGGAAGTTCCTGCATTCTGTTCTTCTTTGGTCTGTTTTAACACATCCTGATGCATCATCATCTGCCAGGACACTGGAAAGTTTTCTTTGCCATTTGTTTTTTGTATCGGTCCTTCTGAATCCCTTAAACTTACAAAAACAGCAGTTTTAAATGCAAATGCATTGCTCTGAACATGTGTATTGGCTGCTCTGTGCCTGCAAGATGTGTACTGGGTAGCTTTATATTTACTGTGTGAATGAGAGTCATTCATTTCCTGTGAATTGTTCCCACTTCTTACAACAGTTGAAACAAAAGAGTGTCAGACTCAGTGTGTTTAGTCTTCTAGTTTCTCCATCCATGTATGCAAGTGTGCCAGTCATAGTCTGAATGATACAATTCCACCACCAGAGGGTGAACACGAGGCCCGTGTAGATGTTTGTATGTATTTCCAAGCATCAACTTTACCTATAATAATATAATTAAAATGTGTAATAAACAATATTTGGCCACGGCATTCATATTGATCCAAAAGCACGTACAACCTCAACCTCATCCACAGAGCAGAGTTGCTCATTTAATTCATTATGAGCTGGAGACAGTATGATAAAAATTAAAATAAGCAATGTAGTAGTTTCTTTGTTTTTTAAATTGTATACGTGGGGTTAGCACTGCTGCTTCACAGCAAGAAGGTCCACCATCTGTCTGGGTCCTTGCTGTGTGGAGTTTCCATGTTTTCACCCGGGGCCGGGTGACGTCTCCCCGGATACTCCCGCTTCCTCCCACAATCCAAAGACATGCGGTTAGAAGGATTATGTTTATTCGTAATTGCCCAGAGGTGTGAATGTGTCTGCCTCCCTGCGTCCAGCCCTGCGGCAGACCGGCGACCTGTCCATGTGTATCCCATCTATAATGTCTTTTTTTAAACCCTTCAACATAATTTAGGCCACTGTGTGTGGAATATAACCTGAAAAACTGGCCTTCTTCCAAATAAATAAATAAATAAATAAATAAACCTTTCGACCGACACGTGCTCTTTGATAACGGGCTTAATTGCACAGGTTTGAGTGTAACCACGAAGTGAGTCGCTAAATAAATAAATATATAAATAAATGACTTTAAATTAACAGTGTTACATAATTTTGGAAAAATTGAGGTTCATGATAATTAGACTATAAAGTGCATGGAATGAATCCCGAGTAACTCTGAAATAGTGTAAACATTTAATATCACTAATATAAATTACTATTACAAGTATTACTGTAATCCTGTTTTGACGAGTTTTCCCGTGGTGGGCGTACAACACGAGGGGGATCGTGTAAATAGGCCACTGACGCTGAACTCTCAGCTCTTGTATGGTTATAAGATTATACACGAGGATGATGCATTAAAGATATATAATTTCCTATTTCAAACCCTTCCAAACAACAGCACCTTTTGTATCGGTACATTTAATGAGCCCTTCCCTTTTACGTGATTTGCTTCCAAGCCTGTGGAAGTCAGCCAAACCAAATATGCCGGCTATGCTTTTATTTTGAAAAGCGGAAGCGGAAATAGTGGTGTTTATTCTAGTGGTCTTAGCGCCGCTGCGGAATGGAGAGGTAGTAGTAGTTGTAGGCGTCTGAGGAGGTGAAGGCGGTGGGTTAGCGAACCTGTGGACGCGCTGCCAGCGGTGATGGGTTAACATCGTTTGTCGAGGTACGTTTCTTACGCTGCCGTGACGGATCCACTCTTCTGTAGAAAACAGCGATAACAGCCGGAAAATCATATCTAACCCCAGAGACAGCTCAAATTAATTTCCCCTCAATGAAGCAAATTACGTTGATGTCCGCCCGCTTTGCCATGTAACGCTGACCTGACGCTGCTTTATATGTAAACGTGCATAAAAGGCCCAAAGCGCTAAGTCTGCTTTTTCCAACACTTGTTGGCTTTGCAAGCGAGTCAGGTCTGTAACACAGGACCACAGCTCTGCACGCCAGACTCCATTTGGATATGTCACAAACTGACGCCGCTCCTCGGATAACAAGCTGAAGGTATTCACAGTGTTTGATATAAATAGAGATGTTTCATCAGTCTTTATTTGCCATATAAATCAGTTCGGGCTAACTCTTAATGCTAGCTTTTAATGAAACGCTTACTTGGTGGCGCATCACTCATCACCGTGTCCGTGTGTCTACCTCGGTGAGCAGGGCGGGAGCGGCCGCTGCAAACCGGCCGTAAAGTCATAAAAACGCAGTTTTCTGTCGTCGGAAACGTGTTCATCAGCGACCTCAGGGGGGGCCAATTCTTCAGCACATGTCGATTCGTTCGTAACGTAAGATTTATTTTAATTTATAGATTAGAAACGGACCTTTCAGCATAAAGAAGTCGGTTGCCAAGCAACACATTTTTAAAGCAACATGTCAGTCGCTCAGTTGTTAAAAAAAACACAAAGGCCGGTTTTGATCTGTCCATGGGGGTGACGGATGGATCTCTTGCCCCCGTTGTTTACCGAGTCACACGTTGAAGTGCGCCCTGCTGTTTTATTCCGAGCTCAGTGTCAGGATAATGTGAGGGTGTGTGGGTTTATTCACTTCCTGTGTGTTTGTGTCCATGTAAAGTAACAGTGCTGTGTGTTTGCATGCCTTGACTCGTGCATTTCTCTTCTACATTCTAGCTTTTGCTGCAGTTCTTTCACAACAACATCAACCTCGGGAATATTTAGTGGCAACTTCTTCCCGTCTGTGTGCCAAAATGGGAAACGGACTGTCGGATCACCGCTCGCTGCTCCCCCGCCTCCCCTGCTTTCAGGCTCTCCACATTGTCATTCTAGGACTGGACTGTGCAGGCAAGACCACTGTGCTGTATCGCCTGCGTTTCAATGAGTTCGTGAACACCGTCCCGACCAAGGGCTTCAACGCAGAGAAGATCAAAGTGTCTCTTGGAGGCAGCCGTCGGACTGCGTCTTTCCACTTCTGGGACGTAGGCGGCCAGGAGAAGCTGCGGCCTCTGTGGCGCTCGTACACGCGCTGCGCCGATGGCATTGTGTTTGTGGTGGACTCGGTGGATGCCGAGCGCATCGAGGAAGCCAAGGCAGAGTTGCACAAAATCACACGGCTGGCAGAGAACCAGGGCGTGCCGGTCCTGGTGGTGGCGAACAAACAGGACCTGCGCAATTCTCTTAGTCTGCCTGAGATGGAGAGCATGTTGTCGCTAGGTGAGCTCAACACTGCCACACCCTGGCACCTTCAGCCTGCTTGTGCCATTATCGGCGAGGGGCTGCAGGAGGGACTGGAGAAGCTCCATGCCATGATCGTGAAGAGGAGAAAGGTGCTGCGGCAGCAAAAGAGGAAGAGATGATGTGCTAGTAGAGGGACTACAAACTACGGGCAGAATCTAAAGCTGCACGAGTACAGCTGACGTTTAGCTGGAACAAGACACAGTGTGGGTATCCATTCTGTCAGTTTTGTCTGGGTCTGTTCCTTCAGCTGAAATGGCTTAAAGTTAGCCAGTTAGCCAGTGCTCCCACTGAGGCCCGTGCAATGGATTCTGAATGCAGTCGTTCTAAAGTTAGTGCAGCAATACGCCGAACTCTCAAAGAAGGACAAAAAGCTTTTGTTGTGTTTATTTGTTGAAACATACGCTGTACCAACTTAAAACAATCAAATAAGTCTCGATCGTGTATATTCCACCAAAGCTCTGAAAGTTAACATGAAGTTGATAATGACTCACTAAGTACAGAATCACTACTGACTCCTCGAAACAGCGTCACGTGTCACAATCAGTTGAATAGAAGCTATTTGTCAAGCGTGCGCCTGTGTTCCTGCTGACACGTCTCGATGACATGACGAGTACAGCTACACTAATTGATCTTCATCATCTGGTTACTGTTTAAACATAACAGTGATCAGTTTCTTCACTCGACAGCCGTGTCAAAAGACCAAAATGTGACTCACACGAGTTGTTTTCTTAGCACGAGGCTGCTTTTCAATCAACTGCACCAAAAAAGGGCTTTATATACTCTCTGCTATTAGTTTATATGACAACATGTAGTCAATAATTGACGATCGCTTCAGTGCTCAAATATTTAAAGCTAACAACTGTAACTACTGTCCTAAAAAACCACAGTGAGAAGTCCGAGTCACCCTTGGAGGAAGATGACAATCAGCGTTATACTTTTTGATATGCAAGTGTCGTCTGCGTTGCTGCTAAGATGTTAGTTTTCAGGTCACCAGCCACATTTCTTCATTTATTAAGTTCTTCGGGGTCGTGTCTCCTTTTGTTGCAGAACATAGACTGGTCCCACATGCTTTACTTGCATTGTTGTAACGTCTAAGGCCGTCCTGTGATTACTGTGTCAGTGCTGCTAACTTTGGATAAAAACTGTGATGTTAAACGTCATCTGAGAATTTATTTTCATGTTCAGTGAGTAGTGATTGTTTCTTGTTTTTTTACTTCCTGTCATGTTTGGACTTTTTGTTGTAAGGCATTAATAACACACTTTTAAAAAGTCCTTTTTTGGACATCAGTTAACACGATCAGAGTGGAAGCGTCGGAGCTTTTGGGTGTATGTAACTGTCGAACTGCTGCTCACGGTGCAGTGAGATAAAAGGCTGAGCAGTTACTGATTGAGTTAAGGATTCACACCCACCGGCTTTTGCACGTCGCAGTGCTATGAGCTTGTTCGCTTATTCAAAGGTAGCCCAACGAGGCTTTTACAAGTTTACAATTTGGTAACTTTGTGGGAAAAAAGAAGCAAACTCGGTGTCATTGTTTCCAGCTGCACCACATGTGCTGTTGAAGGTAAATGTGTTATCATGTGTCCTTGTGTGTAAGCAAATGGGTTGTGTAGCACCAAACTACAGGACTGCATCCAGAGTCGGGATGACCGTGATGGACAATTATTTGCTATAAAACGACTTTGATTCCACTTCTTCAAAGGAAGAATTGTACATCATGTGTTCAGTGATACTAATAAAAGTACATAAATCTGTTGGTTAAACAGGGCCGTTAAAAAGAGTTTTCTCCCTTCCTAATTTTTATTTTTTTGGCATGTTTGTCATACACATCTATCACACAAAGATGCTCCAAGTAAATACAAAATATAGCGTTATGGGATTTTTTTTATTTTTTTTGAGGCTGGTGGGCTTACTTGCTTTTATTTGTTACTAAGGGAAAAGCTACCAAAGCCAACATGCACTGTGTAGAAGAATATTAGCTTCCTAAACCTAATAGTAAATGGTCGGCATTTGTATAACGCTTTTCTAGTCCTTAAGGACCCCAAAGCACTTTACACTACATTCAGTCATTCACACA